GAATGAACACCACATCATTTTCCACCTATCGTTAACCTTGCTTACATGTGTGACCTTGTAGCGCGGATCATTTGTAACTGTTCCATGCACTTGAGATTGCGTGTCGCAATCCATCCACACAACGTGTACTTCAAATTGACTTTCCAATCTGTCATTAACCGTTGTGCCAAGCTTTGCCCGTCGTGACCCGGTGGCTTAGGGGTGGCGGTCACAACTAACATCCCAATGGTCCCGGGTTCGATGCCTGCTATCTCTATCTGATGAGAGGAAATAACCTCGAAACGCGTCATGGAGTGCAGTGGTTTCAGGCGGGCAACACCCAATTTGCTGCTGCTTCATCAGCTACGGTCCTAGTGATCGAATGGCCAAGGTTCACTTCAATGGGAATCGCGGTCCACTTTGAGATTGCGCGTCGCAATCCATCCACACAACGTGTACTTCAAATTGACTTTCCAATCTGTCATTAACCGTTGTGCCAAGCTTTGCCCGTCGTGACCCGGTGGCTTAGGGGTGGCGGTCACAACTAACATCCCAATGGTCCCGGGTTCGATGCCTGCTATCTCTATCTGATGAGAGGAAATAACCTCGAAACGCGTCATGGAGTGCAGTGGTTTCAGGCGGGCAACACCCAATTTGCTGCTGCTTCATCAGCTACGGTCCTAGTGATCGAATGGCCAAGGTTCACTTCAATGGGAATCGCGGTCCACTTTGAGATTACGCGTCGCAATCCATCCACACAACGTGTACTTCAAATTGACTTTCCAATCTGTTCCATGCCCTATTTAGAGTGATGCATTAACCTGTAACGCGATTATCATCCCAGTTCGCTATAAGTGCTATACGAATCCTCGACTGGTCCACTCGGTCTGACGAAGCTTTTGTGTCAAAAGCGAAACGTTGCCCACAAACTATAACTACCGGTTGTTTTCAAACCTTTATGCAGTCATGAGTTCCCGATCGGTTCCAAGTATTTTCCAAGATGTTGTGGAGTGGAGAGTGGTTTGGATGCTACTGCTCAGGCCTTCCCGTCTTATTTTCCCCCACTTTTTTCACCACTATCGTCTTTTTCCAACTTTAATTCTATTCCCCGTTTTCAATCCTTCAATTCTTCGTCCCCCACCTTGCTTCGATAGGTGTTTATCTTCTAGTTTCAGCTCACACGCAAACACGGAGCGTCACTCCTGCTCTGTCGACAAGCCGATGTTCAACTAAGCGATCCACCCTTGTTCATCGGCTTCTATTTGGAGCAGTCGATCTTCCTTCAGATTGACATGCCTCAACGTACCCACATTTGTTACAGTCCGGTCAACAGGCACCACGTGCCTGAACATTAGAGACCTTCTTGATCGATATCTGCCGCTTATCGGGAACCCGCCTGCAAGTCTCGAACTCTGTGCCCACTCTGCGATTCCCTTCAGGTGCTGTGCTGTCTTACCTGCATCTATCCACAGATTATGCAGCTTTGAATGCCGGCTAAGGCGGTGTTGGTATTACCCTGAGTCCCCGGGCTCAAGCTGCTCTGGTTGATTGGATCCCAATCAATGACCGGATATGTGCGGTCCGACTGATTGACTCGTTCAAAGTTTCGAAGTCGCACAGGGCTAATAGGTGCCTGTTTGTCATTGATGCCTACGCGCCCACACAATGTAGCACCGACTCGGTGAAAGCCATTTCTATCACCAATTGAACGAGCTCCTTCGTCACAAAATGTACGCATAATGTAGTGCTCGCTAATGATCTGAACGCCCAGGTTTGGAAGTTGTCCAATGATGAGCTGCCTCTGGGCGGCCCTCACGATGATAACGGTGT